TTGTGGGTGGTACCGAGGCCAAGACCGGTCATCAAATGCACACTCAGCTCAATTGGTGAGAAATCTGTGGTTGGGGGCAGCTATCTCCAGGTACGTTGTTCGCTTACCTTATCTACTCTCTCAATCTCTTCTTACCGTGAGAGTCCTCTCTTTTGGTGAGGTGTCGTGAGCGCGCTACCTTGAGAGACGACAATCTTCCCGAAAGCATCTGGAAGGAGAAAGGGCGGTGCCTTTGAAGGGCCCTGGTCGAAGCACTGGGTCACGGTCACCATGCCAACCCAATGGGAGTAGGTCACGCATGCAATGGCTGCTGTCCATTTTGGCACTTTGCTGCGCTGTAGAAGTCCTGCCGGGTGTGCCAGCCTTTTATGAGACGCTTACCAGACCGTCTATAAACATTTCTGGTTGGGGACTTGGATTGATTCTGGCTGTGATCGCCGTCCTGACTGCGACGTTAAATAATTCCTGAAGAGATGGGGGCGCTCTTAAAATTCCTCCTGATCAGCCAGATCAACCGGGTGTAAGGCTCGTTCCGTACGAGGGTAATAAGAGTGGACTGGCTGGCTTGCTCGGTAACGACTTGGGCACAGGGGTGGGCCGACATTGCACACGAAGACACCGCTTCTCAATGATGCTGTTCGGTATGTTGGATTGAGGGGAGGGTAGGTTCTAATTGAAGCTCAACTGGAAACACAACCATTACCCACTGATCATACATCTGCAACATGGTCTTTTTGTATTCTTGATTAGTTGGTGGACAGACTGCTAACACCTCACAGACAGATTAGAGTAGGACTGTTGTATACTACCATATCCAGTTCTATCTAATGCTGCTGTAAGTAAACCAGTCAAGATACATTTAGACTATGTTGACAATCTGTTGTGAATGCTGTAGATTGCCATTTGATCGGTCAAGTAGGGGACCTGCCGGACACAACTATTTTTAGAAAATTAGGTGTCGGTCAGACACATGTTGTGGTAGGACTCCACTAGGGGGTTCTAGTGCAGATAGTGTTTGCCTAACTCATGAGCGGATCAGACAGCGATGAGGGTAGAGAGGACAATGTGAGACTTACACGTTCGGGAGCACTTAGGGTCCCGCACGTGTTCCAGACCCTACAACCGGGGGAGACGAAGCAAGGCTTCGTGCCAAACGTAGAGCCCGTGCTCTAGCAGCAGTGAGGGCAGCAGCGAGGGCAGCAGCGAACCTAGCAGCTAGGGAACAGGCTGCAGCAACAGCCAGAGCAGCAACAATATCTAGTGCAGCAGCATCCTCCGCTGTATCGTCTGCAACGTCCTCGTCAGGGACCATGTTGGGACTGCCCACAGGGTCCACGGGTACTTCCAGTCCAGTAGGTTCTCGACAGTCTACAAGTCAAATGGCGGGCTCGCAGTTCAGCCCGTTGACCCCACGCGAAAGGGAGCTTCTAGAGCTCCAACAGGTCGAAAGGATCCGTGAACGATTAGAGAGGGAACTGAAACAGGCAACCGATAGAGAAAGAGAAATTAAAAATAGAACAGCCAGGCTTGAAACGTTAGAGGCTGACAAAGCTGAGTTAGAGGGTTTGGATGAGTCAGGATTGACTGAACCAATGAAAGTATTGAAGAACAATATGCTGTCACTGCATGTGGACAGCCGATTGGACTTCATGCAGAACACCGTAGACCAGATCCTGGACATTTTGCAAAGGCCAGGATTTAGGCCACCATCACAGTTAACAGCGATGTCAGACCCCTTTCCCATGCAAGCTGGCACACAACCAAGTGGCACATCTGCAGCAGTCTCACAGACTGTTGCTTCTTCTTCTTCGGGTCCAGCGGTGGGAGCTACACCACCGCAACAACCTGCTCCTCCACAGGGACAGCCGCAAGGTCCTTGGTACCCTAAGACCCCTATGAAACCGCCTCTTGCCTTTTCGGGCGAGAAGAAGGACGAAGAGCTCAACACTTGGTTGAGAACAGTTCCGATTTGGGTGAAGGCAAAGAGGACTTTGTAGGAGGAGGAGGTGATTACTGCTGCATCTTACCTTGAGGGAAAGGCTGCCAAATGGCTGGATGGTGTAGTTACAAAGGCCGGGTATGGGAGACACATGGCGGACTGGGCTCAGTCTCTTACGTTAGACCAGTTCTTGGAGATGGTAGAAGCTCGCTGACGCAATCCTCAGCAGGCGCAATTGGCCACTGATGCGGTAAACAGATTAGACCAACGAAAGTTTAAGTCAGTCAGAGAACTTACGACTACCATTGAAAGCCTAATCGTAGTTCCTGGTATCAACTACGATAACCAGTTCTTATTGACAACGTTTGTGAGATGTCTCCTAGAGAATCTCAAAAACTTGCTGGCCAGCGAGGCACGCATCGAGTATCACTCTTTTGAGACATTGTCTAGAAAAGCCTGAGATTTGGAGGCCACTCTAGGGAATGCTTAACCTACTCAAAATGACACGAGGAAGAAGAAGAGTCCGCAGGAATGGAAGAAGAAAGGGGCTAAATTGATGATGGTTGAGTCCGATGGGACTCAAACAGAAATTGATGAGCTCACAAACCTGCTGGATGTTTCAGAGTATGACGGCGAGGAGGTTGTTGAGGGTAGCACCCTCGCCGCAGTAGTCAAGGCTAAGGCGGGTGGCTGAGGGAAGGGCCATCCAAAGAGTCAAGGGAAGGCCGCCTCCAATCAAACCAAAGTGGCTGATTGGGTCAAGGCAGGTCTTGATCAAGATGTGTGGCGGGACCGCTGAGTGCGTGGCGCTTGTATAAACTGCGGTGAATACGGACACACCCAGTACAAGTGCCAGAACGCAAAGGTCACGCAGAAGATACCTCCTAAGATGGGGGCATCTTCTTCCCAGGCTGCTAGCTCGGGAAACACGTGAGGCCGGTGGAAGTTTTAGCTGCTTCTACTCAGGGTGAAGTGGGCCAGATACCCTCCCCACTTCATGAGAAGGCCATAGCTAATGACTCTTTAGTCACCCCGCAGACTCATCCGGACCAAACAATGCTCCGTATGTTGGATGTGTCTGAAGCCTTAGAAGATTTAGAAAGTGAGTGGTCAAACAAGGACCCTCGCGAATCTTGGGTGGCACTAAGGAAAGGTCCTAGAGGGGAACATTTCGTGGTGGAAGTCGATGTAGGAGGCCGCAAATGTGGAGCCTTCATAGACATTGGCTCCACGCGGAATTACATAAGTCGCGACTGTTTGGAAAGGTTGCACCTAAAGGACCGGGTACAACACCTTAGTAGACCCGTAGCATCTACTTTCGCCAATAAGGAGCGCATGATAGTCATAGACTATATCAAGGACGTAGTCTGCACCTTCTCCTATGGAGGAGGGGAACTTAATCATAAGATTTCGTTCTTGGTTAGCGACGACTTACCATTTGACATGTTGCTCGGAATGTAATACCTTGAGGTTGCCAAGCCCCAGTTTGACTGGGACAAGAAGGTGCTTAAACATAAGTTGCCCGATGGCAGAACAGTCAGATTGACTGAGTTCAAAGCCAGTAGCATTATAGATACCTATGGCTGCTTGTGTGCATCAACGTTCTATAACTATTACAAACAGAACCAAGAGTAGGGTATGTACCTAGTGTATGTCTCTGAGAAAGAGGAGGCCGTTAAAACACCCCCAAAGATAGAGCACGTCGTTGCTAAGTTCCCTGATCTGTTCGAGGAGCCTACAGGAGTCGTAGAGAGGGAGGTTGTCCATGCCATAGAAATCATTCCAGGGAGTAAAACCCCAAAGGGAAGGATCTACAGGATGGTTCCCGCCGAGTTAGATGAACTTCGGCGACAACTGAAAGAGCTGACAGAGAAGGGATGGATCCGGCCTTGTACTTCCCCTTACGGATCTCTAGTACTATTTGTACCAAAGAAGGGGGGTACATTGAGGATGTGCATTGACTATAGAGGCCTCAATGCCATCACAGTGAAGAACGCAGAGCCTCTTTCTCGCATAGACGACCTACTGGATAGGGTGCAGGGATGCAAGTACTATAGCAAGATAGACTTGAAATCCGGCTATCATCAGATCGCAATAAGACCTGAGGACCAACACAAGACAACTTTCCAGACTCGATATGGTCTCTTTGAGTTTGTAGTGATGCCCTTTGGTTTTTGCAATGCGCCGGGAACATTCCAGCACGCTATGAATCGGATCTTCCATGACCGTTTAGACAAGTTTGTCGTGGTTTACCTTGACGACATTCTGATCTTTAGTAAGTCTGTCGAGGAGCATGCACATCACGTTGAGACTGTACGTTCACTCCTGCGACAACACAAGTATAAGGTCAACCTAGAGAAGTGTGAGTTTGGTCGCACTAAGATATTATACTTTGGTCATGAAGTATCCGCGGAGGGGATTAGGCCGGAAGATGCGAAGGTGGCTAGTATTCGAGACTGGCCACGACCTCAGACTGTCACTGAGGTCAGATCTTTCCTAGGAATGTGCGGCTACTAAAGGAACTTCGTAAAGGACTATTCTACAGTCGCCTCTCCTTTGACAGATCTAACTCGACTTGATACGCCGTGGGACTGGAGTGATGAGTGCGAGGGTGCTTTCAAGCGATTGAAGCAAGCACTCATGAATCATGAAGTTCTCATGGTTCCCGGTCTTCAGAAGTCGTTCATAGTGACCATTGACGCAGCCAATACGGCATTGGCGCAGTGCTGGCTCAACAAAAAGGGAAGAAGTTGAGACCGATTGAGTACATGAGCAAGAAAATGCCATCGAAGAAATTGGCAAAGTCCACCTACGAAAGGGAACTCTATGCTCTCTACAAGGCACTTGTCCATTGGGGACACTTTCTGTTGGGACGATTCTTCTACTTGAGAACTGACCATCAAACGCTGAAATGGATCAAGACTCAACCGACTCTTTCCGATGCACTCAAGCGCTGGATTGAGGTCATAGACCAATATGACTTCAAGCTTGAGTATCTGAAGGGAGAGTACAACAAGGTTGCGGATGCGCTATCTCGTAGAGCAGACTACGTAGGGGCGCTAGTTTCTGAGTTTGGTGTATCTCAGGAAGTAACTCAATCGTTGGTGGGAGCCTATCAAGAAGACCCTGTCATGATGGACATCATACGCAAACTTCAGGCAAGAGACAAGGCCACAGAAAGTGAGTTTGTGATGGTGGATGGGTTACTCTTTCTTGATAAGGCCGGGTGTAAAAGGTTAGTAGTTCCATCGAGTGAGAGTTTGCGTAGTTTATTTCTAGGAGAATGTCA